AAAAAATATAAAAATAAAATATTATTTTTAATATTAATATCACTTGAATAATTTTAATTTCGTAATTAATAAATTTAAAATTAATTTTTATTTTTTATATAAATTAGTTAGAAAAAATATAATTAATATTTTCCAAATGCATAAATTCAATAAATCTAAAAAAAATTTTAACAACAAATTAAAAACACAATCATTAACCTTCCAAAATTTTTTTTTGTCCATTCTTTTTATAATAAAAAACGCATTAAAGATGGAAATACTAATATGGAAACAAATCATTTTTTTTTTTAACATGGGAAATGATGGGGGATAAGAATTTTTTTTAAGTTATAGTGAAGATGAAGTTTTCAACCAACTAAACTAAGCATTTAAGGATTGGCTAGGAATGATGCGAAGGAAGCTTTTTTTGGGAAACAAATCATTTAGCTTGTGTTTGGATAAAAATTAGTAAAGGGAAATGAAGAAAAAGGAGGAGAAGGGAAGAAAGGGGAAGGGAAGAAGAGTAAAGGATTGGTATTAACATTGTTTGGATAGATTTAAAAATAGGAGAGAAAGAGAGGAAAAGATTATATATTTTTATTTAACATAATAAATTAAAGAAAATTAATTATAAAATTAATTAAAATTTTATAAATTCATATATTAAAATTAAAATTACAATAGAAATTTTAATTACATATTTGAAAAAAAAAGTTAAAAAAAAAATAGAATCCCTCCAAATCCTTTCCAATTAAAAGGATTAAAAATAAAAGATTCGAAAGGAGTCCATCTCCTTCCATCTATCTCCGCTTCTATTCTTTTCTAATGTTGTTATCCAAACAAAAGAGAGGAGAAACATCCCCATCACTCTCCTCCCCCTCCCTAAACTGCATCAATCCAAGCAAAAGGTTAATGCTGTCGTTAGAGGTAAAATATGATAACTAAAATCCAGATACCTATCTACCATAAGTAATATTGAAACAAATCATTTAATGCTTTTGTACGAGTGAAAAATATGACAATTAAAATCTAGATACCCTTCTACGATAAGTGCGAAAACTATAAATGGGGCAAAGTAGAACTAATTGGGAAGATAAATAAAATCTTTGGTAAAGTTTAAAAACTAATTGTTTTAAGAAAATTAATTTTTTTTAAATATATTAGGTTAATATAAAAAATATGTTTTTATAATTATTTTAAAAAATATTTTTAAAATGTATAAAAATTAATA